CACATACCATAAAAATTTCAACGAAAAGGATGCTAACCTTGTTCTAAGAATCATTTCATTTGACTCTTCATCCACTTCACGTGCCTTTTCTTGGAAAAGTTTTCCCTGCAGAATACAATAGAATTCATAAACTCATTTTAAAAAAAAGAAAGGAAATACTAATAAGGGTGATATCATGAGCAAGTGAGAACCTCATCAAATTCAATGTGGTGCACGTTTCCTTTTCGGTAGAGGGCTTTCATATTTCTAAGCCATGCCTCCTTGTGCTGATCCACTTTAACTCTGCCATGCCTCCTTGAAAAAGGAATCCGCTTCCCAAATTTTTCTTCTCCTCTAATCATGTACCCGATTCCTACTTCCGGCATGTTAAAATCAGCAGGGTTTCTGTTAATTGAGCAGACTGAAGATTTGGAAATGTTTAGAGGCTTCATGGTCCCATTACCATTGTTAGCTTCCAATTTGTGTAGCATTGGATACATATATATAATTCTGGTACATCATCAAAACCAAAGGGTTATCAAAACCAGAGGATTAAATATCAAAACCATTGTTAGCTTCCAATTTGTGTAGTATTGGATACTAGGCATGTTAAAATTCTAATAGGACTTTTAGATCTGCAAATCAATTAACATCGATTAAATCACCAAACCAGTTCTGGTTACAATTACGAATAAATTTCCTTTAAATTTAGTGGATGTTTTTACGGCATAGGATGATTTGTTAAAAAGAGACTTCAGATTCTAGAAGAAGAAAACTAAATCTAGAAAAATATAATAATAAACGGGTGAAATTGGAACATATTTATCAAAAGGAGCTCCCAATTTTCCAGAATCTGGATCTAAACAACCATGATTATGAAACCCTAACAGCACAAGGTTATTGATAAGATATATGTACAATTAAAAATGGAGTTGTACCTCTGGTAAATCATCGATGCGATTTTGAAGACAGGATCAGACTCTCCAGTTCTAGCATCATCTTCCTCTTCATCTTGGCCTTCAGAAAACTCAGATGCCTTCACCATTTATCTCTCTCTCTCTCTCACTCTCACACAGAGGAACCCCCAGACTTAATAAAATATGAATTAGAACTGGAGACGGCATAAGGTTTTTTTTTTTTGACACATACCACCTGACTGCTCTTTAGGTTATTTTTATAGATGAAATGAAACCATGGGCTGTTTTGTGTCTAGGAGGTTGGTTTTGAAAATACCATGGGCTTTTTACTCTTTTTAGTCGGTGGAAAATAATATGGGATGTTTTTGGCTGCTGAAAATATTTGAACTACCAACCTCCTGGCTCCATTCTCATGTCTTTATCTTTATTTTTACTTGTAATGTGGTTCATTTATGAGCAAATTAAAATTCCCTCAATTTTCGAAAATTTGTGTTTAGAAATGTTTGGAGTGGAACTGATAAACTATAGATAGTATTTTAGAAATGTTGTTAACAATGGTTATACATAATTCGATAGTTTTCATGTGCTATTATAACGGTACGTAGAACCACATAAATGATAATTGGTGATACGTAGTAACCATGCAAGAAAGTGGTGGTGACGGCGGTAATGATATGTAGCATTAATGACACTAGTCGATTATGGAATGCATTAAACCCTAACTTTTCAGGTAACCAGTAACAACTAAATATGTGCTAACAGGTTCATAGCTGAGTGGTAAGAGTATTTGCTTGCATGTTAGTGGTCTCAGGTTTGAACCCTAACGAAGGGCAGACTTAGGAAATTTTATAAGGGTGGGCTAAATTTTTTTTTTTAATGGAAAATCCATTATATTACATTTCTTTTCTTCTTAAAAATAGGTTTACATAGTTAATTGGCTATAAGCCATAGATTTTCATTTTTTTATATGCAAAGAAAATGAATGGTAGTAACTATTCTTCAATTAACATTTTTTAAATTTTATTGGAGTACAAATAGAAGTACGGAGTGCAGTCATATAGATCTACAATTGCACAATCACAAGCTACAACCATTCAACAAAACTAAGAGACAACTGGACTATATAGAAGCAGAGATCAAGTAAATAGAATAAACTAGAAAAAAGGACGAGTCATATATCAATAAAATCCAAAATTTAACATGTCCCAAACTCTAAATCATAAAAAACTAACAATAACAATTGAAATTGGAAATTAAACAAAAAGTAAGATAGAAACTTACTAATATTAAAGAAACCATTGGATATAGGTTAATACAATTTTAAAGAGGAGGAGACCTACTACTTCTAAGCTCTCAAGTTCAAATATAAAGTTATAGCTTACATGGATGGGTAATAGAAAAACATGATGTTTGATGTGTGTGGGTTCCTCTACAGATGAAATCTTATGGTTGGGATAGACTAATGTCAACAGAGAGGGGTGGACTATTTTTAATAAGTGTTGCTAAATGAACCCTAAAATTAACTGACTACACCCTACTACGAAAGTATTTATTGAATAACTAATTTATCCTAATATAAAATGACCAAAAAAAATATATTGAATTATGAAACAAATATAATTTTAATAAGTACACCATACTCACCATATTCAACCCTAATGAAAGGCCTAAGCAAGAACAATGTTTCTCTTATTCCAACCATTATGAGACTTGTAAGTGTTCACCAAAGTTTAGGGTACTAAGGAAGCGTAAGAACCATGTTGGGAAACCTAATGAATGACATTCTGCTAGAAGACGGGAATAGCAGAAATCTGGTTGGATGGCTACTGAGGAAGCGAAAGAACCATGTTGGGAAACCTGTGGAAAATGAAATAGGCTTGTGATCCTAGAAAAAGCAAGAGCAGAACCAAGGAAGTTTGGGTGAATGTGGGGTTGTCGATAAGGCTCTTCTTGGCGGGATGATTGTGAGCTTCCTGACAATTGTAACTCTACTAGTACATCCTTTTTTGGGGTCAAAACATCAGGGAAATTTAATAAAGATGAATAAGATTGTTTACATCACTAGCCAAATATTAAGGATCCACGCTGGACCTGCTTCATCTGAGACATGATTACCACCCATCCTAGAAACATAGGCTGCCACCTCACGTGCAACTCTATTGCAGTGTCATGGTATGAAAGAAAACACCACTTGGCTGAACTGTCGAACTAAAACATGAATACCAAATAGGGTGTTGTGTGATAGAGTGTATTATGATGTACCAATGGTATTTTGGTAGTAAAATAAGGTGTACTTAGTTAATTTTATATTTTGATTAAAATATTATGGTGCACTTAGATCATTGGATGTACTCAGTTAATTTTAAGGTTCCTTTATCAACACTCTTTTTAATTAACTTGGGTTTGACTTATAAAATTAATATTAAATTTTTTCACCTCCAAATTTAGCAGCCCACTTTAGCCCATATATAATAGATTTGCCATGACAGCTCACCATACCCCATCCAAAACTTTGACTGAAAAAAAAAATTTGACAACCAAATACTAGAATTACATGTAGGGTTTGTATATGGGGGTATTTCTAGGAGGGCTAAAAGCGCTTTCTAATAATCAGAAACACTTATAACTATGTTCGGTGGAACAATTTAAAAGCACTAATGGATCATAAAAAGCACTTATGGAGAAACATCTGGTAGGCGCATTTTCAAGAACCACTTGAATTTTTAGCTAAAATTTTGATGATCTTCAAATAAAAGCGCGTATGAGAAGAAGTTATCTCTGTAGAAGAACTCCCAAAACGGTCATTTGAAAATAAAACCTAACTTGTCATTTTCATGTTAATGTACCAGTCTTACTTTTTTTTTTATATAAAAAACAATATTTCTAAATACAAGTAATAGTGTAAATTATTAATCTACTCTAAGGGAATTCAAACTTGAATGCAAAGGGGTACTACCTTGGCACCTAACCCATGTCTGCAATACCGTATTGACAAAAAGTTTCTAGGAAAATCAACCAAAGACAACCCAAAGTATCATCTATAACAAAGATGGAACCTATGAAAATAAGTAGCTCCAAGAATCAAAGTAAGTGGCATAATGGTCTTTATCAGCAACAAATTTTTTAAAACGTTTAAGCATGCTGCGTATATAATGCCAATCCCTAGCAATGAAAATTAGAAAATGAATATTTGGATCATTATGTTGAATTCAAAAGAAAATATTATAGAAAGCCGTTGTAAATATTCTCTATATATTTATAATGAACTTCTCACAAATAATGTATAATTATTACAAAAATAAAATACATAAAGATAGATATTGACAACTAGTAGCAAAAATCAGCTAAAAGAATTGGGAAGGAAAAGAGAACATGAATTGTGACCAAGAGAGAAGCTAATTAATAAGATATGTTATACACTTCTACGATTACAACCTAAGCATTTTTTTTTTAATAGAAACTTTCATATTGAGAAGGTCGACAATATATTAAACTTGCATACACTACACGAATACTAGGACTCGAATCCAAAAATTTTATTAGAAGAACAACTACTCCAAACTACACTAGTGGCCATTTGAGCAAATTTATTGTTACCTGTCTGGTTCAAATTCATAGTGGAACCAAAAATTTAAAATAAAGCATGGACTTGTGAATATGAGTTTGGAAGATGATATTATACCGACGAATATAAATGATTTTCTCTTATTCATGCTATGTTATTGTTGACTTGTGTATTATATTTTAAATAATTTCTTGTGATATTAGGTTCCCACAATAGTGGGATTAGGATTGTAACCCTACGTGTATATATATTCCTTATTGCAAGATGAATAACACACAACAATATTAGCCAAATAATATTCTTCTTCTTGACACCCGCTGCAGTATTGATCCTGGGCATTTGATTTGAACCAAAGGTAAGGAGAATGGAAATGATAAAACGTGACTATAAAGGGATTATGTTAAACGTGACAATGAAGGTATTATGTTCATGTAAGAGTAATATGGATTAGTGCCATGATGGTGAAGATTGGCCATGGGATAATAACACTATTGCTAGCTTGGCACCGTGTCCAAGCAAGTCAAACACTATTTCTCCTTGTATCTTAATATTTATGATGAGGAACACAATAAAAGATAATAAAAAATTAAAGTGTTGTTAAACGAACTCTAAAATTAACTGAGTACACTCTATTTAACTACCAAAAATACCCATGGTACACCCTATTTTCTTCCATATCGATATCTTTCTCCTTCATCCCATTAGGCAATTTCCAATCAAACCAGTAGAGAAGATTTGCAAGTCCAAGCTGTAGTGTTGTTATTCCCATGTACATCCCAGGACAAATTCTTCGACCAGCACTAAATAATAAAACTCAAAATGTTGCCCTTTATAATCAATGGAGCTGCCATCAAACCTTCCTAGGATGAATTCTTATGGGTCCTTCCCAGACTCAAGATCTCATGCAATTGCCCAGCCATTGACAAAGACAAGTGTTTTGTGGTCAATATCATAACCTTGGATTTTGAAATGAGACATGGTTTCTCCTGGAACAATCATTATTGGAGCTGGAGGATGCAATCTGGTCTCTTTGATTATCATCTTGAGGTATTGAAGCTCATCTATATCTCGTTCACTGATTTTTCCTTTGTTTCCAATGCATCTTCTAACTTCTTCTTGGGCTTTCTTCATCAGTTTCCGTTTCCTAGCTAGCTCTGCCACCGCCCACGTCATTGTAGTTGCACTGGTATCTATTCCACGTAAAAGTAAATTATGATTCACGAAAGTACCATGAGATTTGTTTGCATCAATGAATTACTAAATAACGATGAAACAAATAGTTAGAGTTAATACTAAGGTTTTCAATTAGGGTGGTTAAGATGAATTTATTAAAATTACATTTGTTTCACAATTCAATATCTCTTTTTTTGTCATTTTATATTATGGTAAAATAATAATTCAATAAATAGTTTGGTGGTAGAGTACTCAATTAATTTTAGGGTTCATTTAACAACACCCAAAAATTAACATTGTGGGACTCCGTGTACACCACCATTAAACAATGTATACAGAGAGTAGAAACACACACCACAAAAATTTCAACCCAAAGGATGCTCACCTCGTCTTCAGAGTCATTTCATTCAACTCCTTATCTGCTTCAAGTGCCTTTTCTTGGAAAAAAATGTCCATGCAATAGTCAAGCACTGTTTCTCCTTGTATCTCAACATATCTAATGTGGAAACAATAAATGAAAAAATTAATTAACATTGTGGAACACTATACACCACCATTAATCAATGCCTACAAAGAGCAGAAACACACAACACAAAACTTCAACGAAAAGGATGCTAACCTCGTTCTAAGAATCATTTCATTTGACTCCTTATCTACTTCACTTGTCTTTTCTTGGAAAAAAATTCCATGCAAGTTGAGCACTATTTCTCCTTGTGTCTCAACATTTCTGATCAAGAACACAATAAAATAGAAAAATTAACATTTCGAAAGTCTATACACCACCATTAATCAATGTCCCCAAAGAGTAGAAACACACACCATAAAAATTTCAACAAAAAGGATGCTAACCTTGTTCTAAGAATCATTTCATTTGACTCTTCATCCACTTCACGTGCCTTTTCTTGGAAACGTTTTCCCTGCAGAATACAATAGAATTCATAAACTCATTTAAAAAAGGAAAGGAAATACTAATAAGGGTGATATCATGAGCAAGTGAGAACCTCGTCAAATTCAATGTGATGCACGTTTCCTTTTTGGTAGAGGGCTTTCATATTTCTGTGCCATTTGTGCTGATCCATTTTAACTAATTAATGCCTCCTTGAAAAAGGAATCTGCTTCCCAAATTTTAGGTCTTCACTTCTAATCATGTACCCGTTTCCTACTTCTGGCATGTTAAAATCAGCAGGGTTTCTGTTAATGGAGCAGATTGAAGATTTGGAAATGTTTAGAGGCTTCATGGTCCCATTACCATTGTTGGCTTCCAATTTGTGTAGCATTGGATGCATAAATATAATTCTGGTACATCATCAAAACAAAAGGGTTATCAAAACCAGAGAATTATACATCAAAACCATGAGCAAATATATTAGACATGTTAATATACTCAGACATGCAAATATACTAGACATGCAAATATACTCAGACTTGAGGGTTTTGAAACAAACCATGAGCAAATATACTAGACATGTTAAAATTCTAATAGAACTTTTAGATCTACAAATCAAATAACATCGATTGAATCACCAAACGAGTTACAATAACGAATCATTTCCTTTAAATGTAGTGGATATTTTTACCGCACAGGATGATTTGTTAAAAGGAGACTTCAGATTCTATAAGAAGAAAACTAAATCTAGAAAAATTTAATGATAAACGGGTGAAATTGGAACATATTTATCAAAAGGAGCTCCCAATTTTCCAGATCTGGATCTAAACAATCATGATGATGAAACCCTAACAGCACAAGGTTATAGATAACATATATATGTAATTAAAAATGGAGTTGTACCTCTGGTAAATCATCGATGCGATTTTGAAGACTGGATCAGACTCTCCAGTTCTAGAATCATCTTCCTCTTCATCTTGGCCTTCAGAAAACTCAGATGTCTTCACCATTTCTCTCTCTCTCTCTCTCTCTCTCTCTCAGAGGAACCCCCAAACTTAATAAAATATGAATTAGAACTGGAGACGGCGGAAGGGTTTTTTGTTGACACATATCACCTGACTGCTCTTTAGGTTATTTTTATAGATGAAAGGAAACCATGGGCTGTTTTGTGTCTAGGAGGGTGGTTTTGAAAATACCACGGGCTTTTTACTCTTTTTAGTCGGTGGAAACTACTATGGGATGTTTCTGGCCAGTGAAAATATTTGAACTACACACCTCTTGGCTCCATCCTCGTGTCTTCGTCTTTATCTTTATACTTATAATGTGGTTCATTAATGAACAAATTAAAATTCTCTCAATTTCCGAAAATTTGTGTTTAAAAATGTTTGGAGTGGAACTGATAAACTGTAGCTTGTATTTTAGAAGTGTTGTTAACAATGGTTATACATAATTCGATAGTTTTCATTTGCTATTATAATGGTACGTAGAACCACATAAACGATAACTGGTGATACGTAGTTAACCATGCATGAAAGTGGTGGTGGTGGCGGTAATCATTTGTAGCATTCATGACACTAGTCAATTATGGCATGCATTTAAACCCTAATTTTTCAAGTAACCAATAACAACCAAATATGCGTCAACGGGTTCATAGCTCAGTGGTAAGAGTTTTTGTCTGCATGTTAGTAGTCTCGGGTTCGAACCTTAATGACACCTCGCCATCCCCCATCCAAAACTTTGACTGAAAAAAAAAATTAATAACAACCAAATATGCTATAGTTACACGTAGTTTTTGTGCGGGAGTACTTCTGGGAGGGCTAAAAAGCGTTTTTTGACAACCAGAAACACTTATAACTGTGTTTGGTAGAACAATTTAAAAGTGCTAATGGATCATAAAAGCACTTTATGGAGAAGCACCTGGTAGGTGCATTTTCAGGAAAGCACTTGGATTTTTAACTAAAATGTCGATGATCTTCTAATAAAAGTGTGTATGAGAATAAGTTCTTTCTGTAGAAGCACTCACAAATCAGTCCTTAGAAAATGAAACCTAACTTGTTATTTTCATGTTAAGTAATACAATCTTACTTTTTTAATAAATAAAAAAATTATTTCTAAATACAAGTAATAATCTAAACTATTAATCTACTTTAGGGGGATTCAGAATTGAGTGCAAAGGGGCACTACCTCGGCACCTAACCCACGTCTGCAATACCCTATTACGAGAATAAGAGGTTGGTTGTATATTTCTTGGTTCATTTGATTTGATTTCAGAAGAAAAAACTTGATGGCGTGAATTCTACTAAGCGGCCAACTTAAGACATGCATGCTCGCTCTATAAATAAATGTTACCATATATATGTATGGTAACATTTGCATCTTAGTATATGACTTTTTATCATATATATTTAGTATATTTAATAATATTGAGAAGTAAGAAGTCACGCGGACCCTGACCAAGTTTCTTGAAAAGGCCAAAAGGCCTAAGATTTTTATAAAAAAATATAAAAAGATCTGATGAGAGTTCGAAGGCCAATTTTATGGCCTTATAGTACCAACAGAATAATATTTAAACTCAATATATAGAGTATAATGATTATATATATATATATATATATATATATATATATTAACCTTAAGAATACTCGTGGAGTCATTGGGCTTTCTAGTCGCTCAACATCGGAAGATTATTTTCAATCAATACTATAATTCTGGATGTTACGATGTTATACCAGATGTCAGGTCAAGCATTAAAAGTCCAAATCCATGCTACAGATTCAAACCCAAGATTTCCGAAGGATTGTATGCATCGGAAGCCACATAAGGAAAGAAATTAAGGAGGTTGATGACAATCCGAAGTATTCTAAAAGAAGAGAGAATCAAGCAATCAAAAGATCTCCATTAATCTGATTCCACGAATTTGGAGGCTTCACAAGGAAAGAATTTCAAAGGAGAAGACCTTCGGCCATTTAATGGCCAGCCCATGGGCTGATGGATGCCCCTATATAGACATTTCCAGATGAAGAGTAAAAGGACCCCAACATTGTAACACCCCGACCCCAAATTTATCTCTTGTTTTAATTTATTTAAGTGGAATTGAGAAATTACCCGTGGGATAGGGGTATTTTAGTCATTTTCTTATCCGGAAGGAATTTGGGAATTCCGGTTATACCGTTGCGTAGAGAACGGTGAGATGAGTCTGTAGACACGTAGTGGGCTCGAATCGGAGTTGTAACGAGAGAGATATGATCAAAAGAAGCTCAGTGGCATAATCGTAAATATTTGGAAAATGGATTTTTGGTTAAAAGACGGAATTGCCCCCATCACTCTCTCTCTCCCCCGCACGTCTCTCTCTCTCTCCCCGACGGCAGCTTCTCTCTCTCTCTTCGAAACTCCGGCCACCCTCCTCGGCAGTCGATGTGTACAGTGCTACAACTACC